GAGAGAGACAATATCTTTTTCCAATTTCACACTACCTGTGAATAGCAGCACTGCCTGTCTAGCCCTGAGTCTATGTACTTAACCACTGTTCCAGACTGCCACTTACCACATTCATATGCAGTCTATGTGTGAATTCAAACATGCGTCCTTAGGAAGTGGTAAAGCCAAGCTTTTATTCAGGTCTAATCTGATTTAAAGTCAATGCTCTTTCCCATCACACTGCTGTCTCTCATGTTATTGTACTTAAACCTCATTTTTACAATCTGGAGTAGACCCTTCTACACTTTGACTCTATTCAGCAGTGTGAGAAAGATTCAGTCCAACACGTACACCACAGAAGCATCACAGGCAACCACCAGATTCCCAGCTGGTGGCTAAGGGAATCTTAGCCACCAGCATACCAGCCATGACATTCACTCCAGAAGATGCCGGAGGATGTTAGCCCCTCTGAGTTGTCCCTATCTTGTGTGCTGTGCTGCTCACTCTTCGTTCTTGGGAGGTGGTGTGGCTGACGGAACAGGCACTAGACCAGGGAGCAGGATACCCAAATTCCAGTCTTAGAGCAGCCTCTGACTGGCAGAGTGCCAAGAGTGCCATCAGATAGGCTGGGCATGTGGTCCCTGCTTCACATACCTAGCTCACTTAATCCTCTCAACTGCCTCACGATCAGGCATGGTAACTAGTTTACAGAGGAAGGAATTGTGATTCAGAGAGTTAAGTATTTCCATCAAGGTCACTGATGACGATACTCAGCCCCAGTCTGACTCCACCATCTGTGCATGTACTCCACCAAGTTGCCTCCAAGGTCACTTAAATCCTCTGAATCTCAGACTCCTCAAGTATAAAGTACCATGGAGCCCTAGTGATTCTTTGAAGGTGTCTCGGAAGTCATTTGGGAAAGGAAGTCCAAGCAGACAGGGCCCAGGCTGCTGCCTGCCATCTACTCCTGATATGCACACAGGGACGGACGGACGGACGGACGGACACACACACACACACACACACACACACACACACACACACACACCCCTCCCCCCCAGCAGTGCAGAGCAATGCTAATTTGACCTTCCTTACAAATATGGCTCTCTTCACTTAGATTGAAGGGAAGATTTGCTGCAAAAAAAAGTTTGGGGACCACTCTGACAAGTCATCTTTAAGACCCCTCTTAGCTTTAATATCTAGGAGAGGATCAGAGTGGTAAAAGGGTAATAACTTTGGTGAATGAAGCCAGTCAGAGGAGACATTGGATTCACCTGGCTAGGTCTGACCAGCGTCAGATATCCGATGCCTTTGAAAGAAAAGGCTGTACCCGAACTCTGCTGATCTAAACACAATTTGAGAAAGTGTTTTGATTGTGTTGGTGAAGATGGCCTTCTTATCCAGGGCCAGTTAGTGAAGAACACAGTCTGAGTTTCCTTCTCCTGTGATCAACACCATTCCTGAAGGGTTTCAGTCGGTTAGGGATGAAAGGGGATGTAGCATTTGAAGCTCATTTGATTTAACTCATTGTTTTTTCTCTTCCTATCTTGCCTCGTATTCCTTTTACCCTGTCCCCTTTCAAATCCCTCTCCCTCCTCTGGCCCCAAAGCCAGCTGGTAGACAAGGAAGAGTCCTGTCTTTCCCCCACTTGTGTTCCTACACACAGCATTGGTGCTTAGATGATAGCTATGAGGCAGCATCTTGATGCATGCATACACAGCCAAGTCTTATTTTTCTCTCATTCCTATAGCTCATACCCTTCCATAAAAGCTGCATGTATAGAAAATAATAAAGCCAACAAAAGATCAAGTGTTAATCATAGTGATGGTGATAATACCTTTTAAAAAATTTATTGGGGTATACTTTACATATCATAACATTCACTCATTTTTAGTGTGCAATTTGATGATTTTTAATAAATATATAGACTTCTACAACCATCATTACAGTCCAATTTTGGAACAATTCCATCACCCCAAAATGATTCCTTGAGCTCCTCTGTAGTTGCTATCTGTTCCCACCTCCAGCCCCAGGCAACCACTAATCTACCTTCTGTTGCTATAGATTTGCTTTTTCTGGGCATTTCATATAAATGGAATCATATAATATGTGGTACTTTGTGACAGGCTTCTTTCAGTTAGCGTACCCTTTTAAAAGTTCATTCATATTTTAGCACGTATCAGTACTTTGTTCCTTTCTACATGACATGTTTTTGAATGGCGGTGTTATATAGAGGAAAGATCATGAATTTCAGAAGCAGTGCAAACATGAGGCTGAATCAAAGCTGTGCCCCTTCTTAGCTGTGTGACTTTGAGCAAGTTCCTTAATCTCTCTGAGACCTATTTGTAGAATAAGGATAATGATCCCTCCCTCAGAGGACTATTCTATGAAATAACTAGATTGTGATAGCACGGGGTGCGCACTTAAGAAATCCAGTCCTTCTCTCTAAATTCCCCAAAAGCTGTGCTTTTCTCACCCCTGCTCCAAACTTTAAAGTCAATCTGCCGGCCTCCTTACCAGTCTTCACATCAAGCTTGAAATGAGAACCCACATAGCAAGCAGTAACAGAAACGGAATTCCGCCAAAGGGAATCACATCCTTCATTAATGGAGCCCAGATGGTGACAAACTAAAGGGATTTCCTTCAATTATATTGCTGTCATTTTTTATAAAGAACATTAAACTGCATTTAATTATTATTTTAAGGGAGAAAGTGGGTCAAATTCTATCCTAGAACATTTTATGGAATTGGCCTTCCCTCTGCGAGGCTCTGAGAATACTTTAGTTTCCCATTAATTGTTATAAAACTGCCCATAACATCAACCCTCAGACAATACATAAACAGGAAGCAAAGGGCTACAAACCCCCCGAGTAAATAAAATCCATCTCAGGCCAGGTACGGTAGTAAACACCTGTAGTCCCAGCTACTTGGGCAGCTGAGATGGGAGGACTGCTTGAGCCCAGGAGTTCAAGACCAGCCTGGGCAAAACAGTGAGACCCCTGTCTGGAAAAAAGAAAAAAAAGTCCACCTCAAATCCTCAAAACTCAACTTTTAGCCAACAATTTCAGACCCTTTCTTCCATGAACCTTTAGAAGAATCTGAATTTAATGTGTGTAGCAAAGTAGACTGAATTGAACTCCTTGTTCGTTTCTCCAGTCCACCTTCTCTGATTAGAACATGTTCTCCTTTTGAGTTCCAATTTAAAGGGATCCTAAATATAATCCCACCCTACACTCTTGAACACGGTTTACAGAGACGCTACCCCTTAGCCCTGAGCATAAAATTTCCTGTCCTAAACCTGCTTTTCCTTCTGAATCATTGTTTCTCTATACTTTTAAATTCACCATTACTCCCCTTCATGTTTCTTATTGTTTTTTCTCCCCTTGTCTGGGATTTAGCACAGCTGCATTTCTTCCCCGAACTCCTGAAGCACTTAATTCCCCTCCACATCCCAGATTCTCTTCCTGTCAAGTATAGTATAATAGTCACAACAGAAAAGGATAAGCCTTCTCAATATTTACTAAATAAAGTAGGTTCGTAACATATCTTGTTTATCCCTCTCTTCAAGGACACTGATAAAGTATCTTTTTCATGATATAAAATGCCTGTTGTGAAATGTAAACTAATTATTAAGAGACGCAACATATGGCTTTCTAATCTTTATATACCAGTAATAGTCACTATATATATTATTGGCATTAAAGATGGCAAAGAGTGATTCTTTCAAAGAGGTAAATAATATGCAATTCCTACATGTGATCAATCTGCAACATTATCAGGTGAGTCTGACTAATTTGAACTATTATTGTGATAAGGCCATACTCACACAGATAAACAGATAAAGGCTATAACCAGGACTGAACCAAACACTTAATAATGTATTTGTATAAGGATTTCTGTGTTTCCTTGCTCTAAGTACTTATCTTGAAAATAGGAACTGATAAAAAAATCCATGGCTAACTTTTCTCCCAGTATTAGAGATCAAGAAGGAGTAGGTGGGATCCTAGGAGAGAAGTTTTCACTCACTGTATATTACCTAACATAGGCTTAGGAATCCATAAACATAATTTAAAAAATGGGAGGACAAAAGCAGTTTAGGTTTACCAAGATTTGCGAATTTCCCAAATCTGTAAAAAATTTTTCTTATGTTTAAACTTACCCTTCCATATCACTACAGTGAAGAGGGTAATTTATATTCAGGACTTTATTTTAGGAATTTTATTTTAGGCAATATCATAGGAATTTATCTCACGGTATAAATAGTAAATCTGGGATTTAGCAAAGATTTTCTCTCTACAGCACAGGCCTTTTGTTCAGCAGCAGATGACAAAATAATCTTGAGGCATGATGTTTTAACTTCAGTTGGATGCCCAAACATCCCTCCAAATCTTAAGTTCCAAATTCCAGTATGTGGTCAGTATATTAGAAATTACTTTTTAAAAAATCACTTAAAGATTCCAAATCATACATAAATCGTGTGTGTGTGTGTGTGTGTGTGTGTGTGTGTGTGTGTGTGTGTATGTATGTGTATACACACACATGAATCTCACAGCCTTCAAATTGGATGCCCAAACATCCCTCCAAATCTTAAGTTCCAAATTCCAGTATGTGGTCAGTATATTAGAAATTACTTTTTAAAAAATCACTTAAAGATT